CGACAAGGTGGCTGCCAAGGTCTGCTGGCAGATTCAAGGTCAGTGTTTGACTGCAGTGTAGGCACTGGCAATGTCCTCTGCTTCACCAGCACTCCTGTACTTTGACCAGCAAGGCAACCCATTTCTGGAGGATCTCATTCAAAGGTCAGCTACAGGTTCACACGGAGTTACCCGTCTGTTATGCCTCTCAGGTTATTGTGCAACTTGTCTCTCAGGTTGAATTCTGAGGGCCTATGATGAGGTCTCACTGGCTATCTCTATCCCCAGAGACCAGTCCATTGCTGGAAAAAAGTGTGAATTCAATAGATATCTGCTGGAAGATGACCTACTGAGTGACTGAGTGGAGGCTCCCCACTCCTTGCTAGACCCTCCACCAAGTCAAAGGAAGGGAGTGGAGAGGAGCTGTGTCCTTAGGCCTCTCTCCCCAGCCTCACCCCTAAAACAGGCCGAACCTGCCACTATTAGCAGGTCCCCCAGCTCTGGGCTCTCTCTGGCCCTTGCCTTAGCCAGTCCTGCAGCACAGACATGGGGAATGACAGTCAGCTTGCATCAGTAGCCCTTTCAGAAGGGACAGATTTTCCCCTAAACTGCTGTTGGAATTGGCTAATTAGAAGGCTTTAAAAAATCTTAATACTCTAAACAGAGAAAACTGGTTCTGAATTATTAAGCAACATTTTCAATGCATTTGAATAACCTTAAGTGACTTAGCTGCCACCTGATCCTAAGCTCTGGCTCAGATAAATAAATGTGAAATATTGTCAAAGCCCCGGCTTATAGGAGCCTCCAGCTACAGTAAATAAAGCTTAAGTCTCCATAAACTGCCTGGGGCAGAGACATTTTCATATAAAAGGAGTAGGAGAAGACGATATTAAATAAAGCCAGAAGGACCAGGAAGCCAATGGTTTTGTTCCAGCGTTCAGAAGAGAGTTGTCAGTAGGGCAAGGATTTTCTCTATTCAGGTCATTTAATCATAGAATCACATAGTATCGGAGCTGAGGGAGGATTCAGAAAGCACTCACTTTAATCTCTTCATATTTCAGAAGAGGAAAATAAGACCCAGGAAAGTATGTACCCTGCATGAAATAACACAACAAATGGCTGGAAGAATAAAAATTCTTCCCCAGGGTGCCTGGCTCTCACCGTAGTCCCCTTCCCACCAGGACACATCCCTCTGAGAATGCCCACTGGAGACATCAACATGAGACTGATAACGGTTTGTTAAAAATTTTAGCCAGCCAGGAGACTTCCAGAGCTCAGATTCCAGATGCCATGGCCCCTACCTGCTCTGGACTTTGTGGTTTTCTTCTCATGACTACAGGACTGGGGGAGGGGGAGAAAATGGGCGAGGAAGGGAAATACCAGGAATAAGTGAGGGTGAATGTTACTATACAATGTGGTCCCCCCTCTTGCCTGTCCTCAGGTCATGAGGATACCATGAGCTTCTGCCTGGTGAGATGAAAATACAAAAACAAAACAAAACAAAACAAAACAAAAATACAAAAACAAAAACAGTGAATGCATGAATAGGTAGGAATGTTCCCCCCCCCCTCATTTATTTACTAAACAAGTATTTCCTTAATGTTTACTATGATATCAGAAACTGTGTCAGACATTCGATACAACAGTGAACAGGCAATATTTCTGGCCTCAAGGAATGTAGATTCCAGGGCTGGATGCAGACAGGAAATCGACCCACTGCAATTCAGAAAAGTAAAGGACTACAATAGAGAGCATGAGGAAGGGAAACACCTACCTCAGTCCTACGGTCTCTACGTTCCTCTTTTCCTTTGTGTCTCATTTTAATGTGTACAAGTCTTTCCTACATCTATTTTACTGACGTACACTTTCACAAACAATGAACCAATATTATTGCTTACTATGTGGCAGGCTCTGTATTCAGGTGAATTAGATATGATCCACAATAATTTGGATTTGATGTTACAATTCATTTGTTTACAAAATGTATATCTTACCTTCATTTTGTGACTATTTGTAAATTTGGGCCATTTCTAGTTCTGGCGTCATTTGATTTTCCTTGATCAGGTTACTTTCCTTATCTGCATCTTGGATTGTTAAATCTATAAAACAGGGGTCTTTTCTAGTTCTCACAGTCTAATATCCATGCATGAGGAAGGCCTGTTCACACAAGGCTCTCACATATAGCCAACGAGAGGAAGGAAAGTGAAGTAAATTTGGAAATGCCAAAAGAATCTTCACGTTTGGGATTCAAGAGTAGACATTAAACCTAAAGCCTGAGGTCCAGGTTCTGGGGGAAGAGCAGGTGTGGTGTGGGTGAAGTGGGCTGGGGCTGGGGCATGCTGCTGCATGTGCTAATGCACTCTGGAACTCCACTGGCTTTGAAAATTACAAGGGGTGTGAAGAAAAGGTTAATCTGCACATATACAATTGTTTGTATTTACAGTGGGGTTATTATACAGACTTAAATTTAAGTGAGCAAAGCTAGTCTGCAGAAGCACCTGGCATATTGAGCACAGAACTAATGATTTTTTATTTATGGCTGAATGGAGGCAGATGGGATTGTACATGCAGCCTTCAAAAGTTTATTTGATTTCTGATATAGCATTCTGAATGGTACAGTGCTTTATAAACACCTTATAAAATTAAGTTCTGAAGCAAAATAAGTAGGTTTATAAAGACTTAAACACATCAACAAACCTATCCATAATGGGTCACATCTTATATTCAGCATGGTATGGGGAAAGCTCCTATGTTTTGGGAATCAAATACTGTTACTGATATTTATTGTGCAACCTCTCAATGTAAGCTCTCCTAAGCTTCTGTGTCCTCAACTATAAAGTGGGGATAATACCTATTTCCAGAGAACTAATATACTTGATTATGCATATAATAGGCACAAAAATAAATGGCTGTATTCATTGTCATCAATCTCTATCACACCAAGTTCTTTGTAAATAAGGTAGAAAGGGGCAGAAGATAATTTTATTAACTCTGAATTCCATGCAGCTTCCATGAAATGGCTCTAATCACCTCAAATACACTTTAAAACTCCTTTATGTATTCCTTTGATGTGGTCAGGAGCATACAATAATGGGTTTTCTTACATAATACCACCTTTCTCTCAATACCTCTGTAGCAAGAGCTAGGAAATGGCAGAGTTGAGATTCAGTCTAGACTCCAGAACCCACTCATTTAACCACTAGCCTACACTGTCGCTCCATTACTTATCTCCTTCAAATCCGCCCCAGTCACTTCCAGGGGCATTTTCTGGTGATGGCCACTCTCACACTTTAAATCTCCTTATCCTCTGTTAGAAAGCACCACCTAGACTTCCTCCTGGCATCTCAGGCTCAACAAACCCTCAAGTGAATCTATCTCCTCATCTGTCTTCCTTAATTTCTGCACATGAACTACGATCTCTCTAGTCATTCAGGTTGGGATCTCTAAGTCACCCTTAACAACTCCTTGTTCCTGATATAGCTAAAAAATCACCAAATCCCATGGATTCTTCCTCCTGATTCGGTTGCCTTCTTTTTAACCCCATCATCGCCATCTTAGTTTAGATGCTCACAATCACCTTCTTGTCTACTGCAATAGTCCTATTTGGTATCCCTTTGCTAGGGTCTTCCTACTCTAATCCTTCCTAATGAAAATAATCAGTAAGTTTGAGGCAGTAGGGAAAAGGCAAAAATGTGGAATCAAAAGACTTAGGTGGAGCCACTGCTCTGAAACTTATTTATTAGCTAAGTCAATTTGCATTAGCTATTTGGCAGTTCTAAGCATAAATTTCTCTTACTACAAGGGTTAATACCCACCTTAACTACTAGATCAGATTTCCACCAGAATTGGTTTTGTGAGGGCGAGAACCTTGTCTAGCCTAGTCACTACTGTACCCCAATGCCTTGCGCACAACAGGTGCTCAAATAATATTTGCTGGATTAGTGCAATGATTTTTTTCCATTGGTGTGCTGTAAAAGAATTTCTTTTCCTTTAGATTGAAAAATAAAACAGTGATAACAGCCAACACAATAGCCAGCCAGTGTGAACGAATCAAAATTACACCTATTTTTTGTCAGACCAGCAAAAATATATTTTTGTGTGTGTACTGCAGAATTTTAGTAATTAGTTTATGTGTGCCATGAGATGAAAAAGGTTGAAAATTACTGTCTTAATGCATAGAAAGTTCTTCAGTTATTTTTTCAATTCCTATCTCACTTCCCTCCATGTCTGACTTCACATCCTAAATTCCAGTGTAGCAAACTGTGTGCAATTTCCCAGACATACATTGGCTTATATTCCTATGGTTTTATTTATACTTCTGCTTGACAAATGGCCATTCCTTTAAATATGACTACCTCTATATATAAAAGCCTAAGTGACTGGCCAATAGCTATAATGCACAATGACCACCAGAGGGCAGACACTGCACAATGACCACCGGGGGAAGATGCTCAATGCAGGAGCTGCCAAGCTGTGGTGACTTGGCAGCTACAGTTTTCAGGTAACACACCCAGAACCAGAGTGGAAGGAGCCCAATTCTGGGGTGCATCTGAGATCCACCCTCTCGCAATCCAGGACCCCTTAGGGGATGTCGGAGAGCTGGGTTATGACCCGATCCCCACAGGCCAGGACAAGGGGCCCCATAGGTGCACGAATCCTTGCACTGGGCCTCTAGTAGTATAATATCAAACCTTGAAAATGACACAGGTATGATACTGTTTACTAGATTATAGGCCTTAATTCACATTTCATCAATTTTTATGTGTATTCAGTTGAGTCTAGGTCTGTGAATATTTCTTTGTGATTTTATTTTGTTCAGATTTGTGTAACCACCACCACAATCAAGACACAGAATAAAACCCTAAAATGTAGAGTCACACCCACTCCTTACACCTGCACCATCTTTATAATTATGTCAATTAAAGAATATTATGTAAATGTAATCATACAGTGAGCAACCTTTTGAGATTGCCTTTTCTCACTTAGCATAATGCCCTTGAGATCCCAAGTTGTTTCATGTGTTGAGTTCATTCCTTTTTATTGCCGAGTAGTTTTTTACTATTCCTTTAAAAAAATAGTTCAAACTCTGTTTCTTCTGTGAAGCTTTACTGGTTTCCAAGTTGCTAAAAAACTTTTAATATTTCTAGTTGAAAACCACCCTGAACCTTTTTGTTTTCAGGCATGTAAGGCACACTGTTTGATATCCTTACTTGAAAGCTAGTAGTTTCTAAACAGTTAATATTTGATTTCTTTGTCCTATTAAAACAAAACAAAACAAAACAGGAGAGGAAGGAGGAAGTGGGGATGGGGAGAGAAATAATCACTATTGCCATCATACCAGTTACAATTATTAAATTCTTACTATGCTAAATGTTGTATGTATTAAACATTTCACATTCATTCTTTCATTTAATGTTCACAAGCCTTTGAAGTAGGTATTGTTACTTTCATTTTACCGAGAGATTAAGTAATTTCTCTAAGATCACTCTATGAAGAGCTGATTCAGAATTCAAAGTCAGGTCCATTGGATTCCATAGCCTATGTTTGCTATTGTTTCAGGCTACAATGCCTACGAAATGTGATCGAAAGAGCAGGTAGTATTATATTAAATAAATCATTCTTACAGTGTTGATTTATATTTGCTTAAGACAAGCAAGGAAAAATAAATACCAACAATTTCCCCTTTATTTTAAGTAGCCAGTCTAAGAAAGCATTCTCCCTCTGTGAGGAAAAGTGGCTGTGGTCTCAAGGACAACTGCAGAAAATCTGAGCAGAACAAAGCAGATTCGGAGCAAATTTACATAGAAGATGTTGGCACTTTAGAAACTAAGAAATGACCATATCCAGGGATTGTGTTTCCCTCAGGATTTCTTGAAAGTCTCCTTTGAGAATACAAGGTTAATGGGTGCTTATTAATATTTTTCTGAAGGTACATTTACCTTTCATTACAGAACTCAGTTATGTTATGAGCCAGGGTGAGAGGCAAAATCAAATGCTTAGAAGTTCCCCAGTTTACAGAGTTCCATTTACATTTCCAGTAGTAAATCCCAGAAGTGAATCTGAGATGTGAATATCTTAAAAAATAAAACTATATGTGTCAAAATAGTATGCCTAACAGCCATTCTCTTGAAAGGCTTGCTTGTTGGTCCTTGGCTGGCATTTGTGAACTTGGGTTTGGAGGGCGGGGAGGGGTTCTACCTTTCCCAGAACTGGTAAGAGTGGCTCATTAAGCCTAAACTGATTTTCACTTAATAACATTTCATGTCATTTCATGTCTTTTTTTGTTTTTGTTTTTAAAGTATTTATAGTTTCTGCTTAACAATTGCTTTCCTTCTGGAATTCTGGAATTTTGGTATGTGCCAGTCAAAGGGTACCTACATGATCAGCTTCAAATAAAAATCTTGGGTACTGAGTCCCTAAAAAGCTTCCTTGCTTGGCAATATTTCACATGTATTGTCTCAAGTCATTGCTGGGGGAATTAAGCTCATCCGGTGTGATTCCACTGGGAGAGGACTCTTGGAAGCTTGTGGCTGGTTTCCCCTGGTCTTTACCTCATGTGCCTTTTCTCCGTGCTAATTTTGTGTTGTATCCTTTTGCTGTAATAAATCATAGCTGTGAGTATTATTATATGTCAAATACTGTAAGTTTTGCTAGGGAATCACCAAACCTAACTGGCAACCTTTCGGTGCTTAGGACACCGCTCAACCAACCGAGTCACACTGGCCAGAGCATGACTCAAACTTTTAACTATGCGTTTGTGTTTCAACCTAATCACCATCTCTCTGTGCAAGGCTTCATTTCCTTTGTAATGCCTTCCCTTGTCACTGCAGACTGAAATTACCTATTCTTCTGAGTACAATTTGGAATGCGTTTATTTCAGATGTGTGTTTTAACCAGAATGTGAACTCTTCAAGGTCAGTAACAATTTCTTTTATTTCTTTACCATTAGTGTCTGGTATGGAGGCTGGCAGAGTGGTTACTCAGCAAATACCTTGCTATATATAAAAGAACAAATACATGAATGAAATGTAAATTAAACTATTTATATATTCTAGCAAATAAAATATCCTTGTATTATCAGTGAAGTAAAATGTCATCCGCAGTAGCTTCTAGATACAGACTATAAGTTCTACAAGGGTAAGAACCATGTATTTTCAGCACCGTGTTCCCCATATTGAGGTTAGTGCTTAGTGTAATAAAGGCAGATATATACCATAAGTTTGTAAGGCTTTCCTCCACTTCATTTAAACAACCCTTAATGAGGGTCTACTCTTTGAAAACCCTGCCAAAAGCTTATTTATACGAACTCTCCTGAGAGGGAGAAAGAAAACACCTACGTGTTAGTTTCCTTAGCTTGGGAAAAAATAAATACCAGTACATTCAGTTCTTTATTTTAGAATACACCTAAAATGCTGAGTATCACATTTCTGAGTATATGTTTTTCTACTTGGCTTCATAGCTATACTAGTAGATATAAAGGAAGAATGTTTTTGAGACAAAAACAGGGGCTGTGTAATTACATGGGTCACAAGGTGCACAGGTCACAGATCCGAAGCATCCTGCCATCACCACCCTCCTTTCCCATTTACCTGCATTTTATACACAAAGATCTCACTTTCCATGCAGGTGGGGCGTCTCTGAGTGACACAGATACGAATAGAGGAAAGAAAAAAACCAAGAGAAGGCAGGGAGGGAAAGAATTGTGGGTTAGAAAAACGAGGAGCAAAGAGTGGAATGAAGAAGAGTATAAAAAGGGTAAAACAGGATTGGAAAGAAGAAGGGGATGGGTGGGAAAGGAGTTGGTTGGGGGATACTGAAAAACCCACACTGAATGTCCCCGGACCACTGTGTGTCTAGAGGGCAACTGGGGGGCAGCAGGGGCTTCTTACTCTGGCTCCTAGGCATGGTGAGTAGTGGGGTCAGGGCCATTCCTCAGTGTTTAGGACTCAGCTGCTTCACTACCAACTCCCTTATAATGCCTGGGGAAGGCAGATAGGCCACTGATGTTCACATGGCTCTAACATATCCAAGAGGCAGAGCTCAATGACCAAACTCTGGAAGTGAATGCTACACTTCTCTTGGTAACAGTTATTAGCAAAATGGAGAAATTAACAAAAACAAACAAACAGCTCAATGTTCCCAGCATCCTGACCATCAGATTTTCTAGGGAAGGCCCATGTCTGCCATAGGCTATGCTGCTGGTTGTTCCCCAGTGCTCGGTTTAGTAAGTAGTTGGACAGCTGGGAAATCTTAGCATAAAGTGTTGTTCTGGTTGGGGGTGGAGGTACAGAAGAGCATTTAGCAAGTCCTTTGGTGAGAAGCCAGGCTCTGCTTTATGGAGAAAAGGCTGAAGACACAATAAGACTCCTAGAGCTAAGTCTTATGTTATTTGTTATTAAAGAGGTGAGTCTTAAGATGTGCTTTTTAACAGTCTTTAGTTTGGTGGTAATTTAAGATGACTTTTACAAATTAGATCCTAATCCTTGCAGACACAGATGGCTGTTACAGAATAGCCTTGCAAAAACACTAGTCATTTGACTTGAGATAGCATTCAGAGAAGGATGAAGGGCCATTAACTCTCACCCCACCCCTGGCTCTAGGAGGTCTAATGAGTCCTGGGTGGGCTTTATGGGTTTAGGTCTGGGTCTGGAATCTGGGTGGGCCTAGGGCATCTCTTCTTATTTGAAACAACCTCTCTAGTTTACCCTGGAATCAGAGCTTTCAGATCAGACCTGAGGTCATTAACATTCAACCACAGTAACTGAATGTTTGTGGGTGAGGCACCAATGGGAATAGATATGAAGATGATATGGACAGTCTCTCTAAATAATTACAGAAAAACAGGACAAGTACTACGAGAGAGAATGTACAAACAGCAATGAGTACATAGGGAAGAGCTTGGGAGAAGGGGAGGGCTTCCCAGAGAGGATGACATTTCAGCTGCACATTAAAAAAATGAGTTCCAACAGGCCAGCAAAAGCAGGAAGGGTGGATATCCAAGAAAGAAGGAACAGAAGCACGAGAGTCTCTTGTGTCTTTAGTGAATACTGAGCAATCTCTCATCTCCTCGTAATGGAAGTAAGTAATGAGAGGCAGGGTTAAAGTTGGGAGAGGTAGGTATGAACCAGATTGTGAAGAATTTTTGAAAACATTCTAAGGTGTCTATACTTATCTAGGGCAGTAGGGAGCTACCAAATTTAAGTGAGAAAGGGAATGATCAGAGTGGGATTAAAAAAAAAAAAACCCACTGGGTAGTGGGTAATTTCCGGTTGACCAAAAACCATAAAATAGACCCATGCTGTATACTGGGAAGCTCTTGATTTCTCCTATAAGAAGAAAAATTTGCTTAGACTTTTTCTCTGGGTAACTGGGGCAAACTTAATCTAAACTGCCCTTAGGATGAGGATGGAGGTTGCCCTTGGGATGGACGTAGAAATGGGGTCAGGTGGGAAAGGAATAATGGGAGATGAGACGAATAAAATCAGTGTAAAACAATGTATGCATGATTAAGATCTAAATCAAGAGTAAAGTTTCTCTAAGACTATGTGATTGATCCTCTATTGACACTTAACAGTCTGCCCTAAAGAGACCTCATTCTTGGTCTGTAGAGTTCAAGGCAAGCAGGTAGCAGCCCAACAATCCTCTACATTTCACTTCACAGTTCCCCTACTTCCCACAGTCCACATTTTTACCCTGTGGGAAGATGTCATTAACACTGATCATAATAAACACAGATCCTTTTAAGAGACTGCTTCCCTTACCCTATCCCCAATAGTCAATTTTAAAAATTAATTTGAAAGGAAGTTTAACTTTAGGAGTCAGAAGGTCCTTGGACTCCATCTTTTCTAGCACTTCCATTTTACAGATGAGACCCAGAAGAGGAGAAAAATAACTAAGGGCTGGGATCTTAAAGTTCTCATCATGAGAAAAAGTTTTGTAACTGTATGGCGATGGATGGTAATTAGACTTGTTGTGGTGATCATTTTGCAATGTACACCAATATCGAATCATTATGTTGTACACCGTAACTAATATAAAGTTATATGTCAATTGTACCTCAATTAAAAAACAAAACAAAGGTTTAATTTAACTCCTAAGTTTTGTTAAGTTCTCCAAGGTGAGATGTAAAACTTGAGGCTAATTTTGAATTCCTTAACAGCAGTTCTTTTCCAAGCTTCACACATTTAGATTTTAACTACACTGACAGAATTTAAGGTATTTGGACATGTGGTTCACACAGCATTTGCACACATCTGTTCCCTTGGGCATGTTTGTGCAGGTACAATCTTACCTAATAACAGACAAACATGTAAACTGACCATATCTTTGCTACGCCCATGGCCAATCAGAGTGAGTATGCAAATTAACAAAACAAAAAAAAGATGGTGGTTAATTTGCATACATAAGCGTCCAGATCCTGTGTCCCAGGAACATCCTTCACCCAGGTTACTGTGAGGAAAGGCCACCTGGGCCCAGAGCAGCCTGGGAAGGGCCTGAGCCAGGGGGCTTCTGGGCAGGGCCAAGCCTGCAATCAGAACGAGGGGGCAGGAATGAAGGCTGCAATCGCAGGGAGCTGGGGTCCCCTGCCCAAGGCCAAAAGCCTCAGCCAGAAGTTTTAGGTCTGGGCAGGCCTAGACAGGGGTGGAGCTTGTGATCACAGGGAGCCTGGAGTTCCCTGCCCAAGGCCGAAAGCATTTAGCAGAGGCCTGGATGGGGCAGAGCCAGCGATCAGAGGGAGTTGGAGGGTCCCTGCCCAGGCCTAAAGCTTCGGCCCAGCCCACGATTGGTGTGAACTATAGAGGAAACACCTTTTCTGATTGCACATTGGCTAAGCTTCCTGCATGCCACTGGTAATATTCTTAATTTTCCACAAAACTTCTGGAGAAAAAAAATGAAGGTCTGCTGCTCGAGGGCTAAGAAATGCCATATCCTGCCCTAGCAGGTTTGACTCAGGGGATAATGCCTTGGCCTGCCGACAGCAGGGTCTGGGTTTGATTCTGATCAAGCATGTACCTAGGTTCAGGCTTCTCCCTGGCTGGGGCCCAGATCAGGGCTCATGCAGGAGGCAACCAATCAAAGTGTTCCTCTCACTTTGATGCTTCTCTCTGTCTTTCCCTTTCTCTTCCACATCCTCTAAAAGTCAACGGAAACATATCCTCAGGTGAGGATAAAAAACAAAGAAAGAAATGCTTTAGCATAGAATAAGGACTCTTTCAGAGGTAGTTTATCTTAGTAGAGAGCTGAATAGAACCATCAAGTGACTCTTTTGTTGGAATTATAATATTACATCTCTAAAATTATAGTTAGCTTTTTGTTGGCAGCCAAAACACATTATTTATGTCCTAGTGTCCCAGTGCATGGACTCATGCATATTGAAGGGAAATAAATTAGAAGAAATATTTTAATATCACTATTCGCATCTTGCTAATGAAAAGAAGATAGGATTCTACTGAATCTCCTATCTACCTACTCCAGGACTTCTGTGAGGATCAAATGGGATGAGGCACGGAAAACGCTTCACAGACATTTGGTTAAACTGTAAAATGTTTGCACCTGGCTATAAAGCAAGTTGGTTCTTGGGCTGAAGAAACTCTAAGGAGACTAGTAGCTAGGGAGAGGAAGCTGGGCATAGCTACGTGATGTCATTACCTGGCACCCACAGTGACTGTTTCTGGGCTGGGTGCCAAATTTTGTGCCATGGGGTCTTGGCAGCATTGGCTGTGATTTGGTGGGGTGGGGAGTGGCTCTCAGGTGGTGGTAGGGCCTATGTCCCACTTGGGGGAAGCCGAGTGTTGGTATGTCAGTACCAGGTCCGTGGTGCCATTTATTTTTAAATGGCCAGTGCCTCTCGCGTCAGCTCCTGTGTTGAGCGCCTGCCCCCGGTGGTCAGTGTGTGTGATAGCTACCGGTCAGACGAAAAGACACTTAGGTAGTCAGCTTAATTCAACTATAATCTCTGCTAAAGCATGATATTTTCATTCCAAATGAGCAAATGATTTTCTAAACTTAATGCGTAAATCTCTCTACATTTCTATAATATTTCTCCAGGTTCATTTTTGTCTATTGTTTTAATATTTCAAGGTTTTATTGAATCTTCTGTTCCATAATCCAAAAATCTGACAGTCTTCATTTAAGTTGCTAGTAAGCACAGTGAGTAATAAAGGGTTATATATAAAACTTCTTGGTTCCCTCCAGGAAGAGGGCAGTCTCTTAGTCAACACTTCGTGGTCACCACTGTTTAATCAGCAATAAATTCACCTAACTGTAGATTTATCTCTCTACTTTGCCTCAGAATACTATCAGAGACTATTAAGAATATTGCTGAAATGCAGATACACAGGTGAATATAGGTTACTCTCCTTGCCTTCCCAGGCTAATAAGAACTATCAAATCACAAAATACTCTTGTTCTAACAAGACTTGTTCTCAGTAAACCTATATAATCATTGACCTTGATCTAACTCTGTTAGACTGTTAAGCACACAATTTTCAGATCTGTTCTGAGGTTTAGAAAGATGAGATCTGAGGAAAGCCTGTATGAATGCTGGAACAGGGGAAATAGCTAGGAAAAAAATGCCACACCAGTACCTAAATTCTAGCGTAGGCTATTGGGCATATGTCTGCTGCCCTGAGAGACCATACCTTCCCCAAAGGTTGTACCATTGGACTTTCCCTGGACTACTTTATCCAGCCCTAATGATGGTACATCTCCCATCTGGACACACTTTTCAAGAAAGGCATAGGAACTTACGTCTCTCCTAGGAAAGGTACTCAGTAACTTGAACTCATTCCATGGAAATCCTTTGGAAGTTACAAAATCAAAGACAATCTGGAGCTTATTGCTGGCCAGAAAACGCCTCTCGAGGAACTCTCCGCTGGGGGTGCGAATCCGCAGTTTGCTCACAGGCTCAGCATCTTCTTTTGGCTCTGGAGGCAGGGCCTGCTCTAAGGAGAGCCGAATGGCCTAAGGAGAGCAAGAACCAGGTGTTAAACTATGTAATGGGTGAGACTGTGAGGAGTGGGGGAGAGATTAGAAAAAAAGCTGCTGCTTTCTAGAAACTCATAAAAAAGCTATTTCCCACTTATTAACCAAGCCTAACGCTTGAATAACAAACTCATGTGTTTTTCACTTTCTTAATATTAGCCCAGCGATTTTCAAACTTTTTCATCTCACAGCACACATCAACTACTAAAATTCTGTGGCACACCAATAAGTATATTTTTTACTGATCTCTCTCTCTCTCTCACACACACACACACACATACACACACACACACAAAAGGTATAATTTTGATTGGTTTAAAAAAAATATATACACACACACACACACACACACACACACACACACACACACACACACATATATATATATATATATATATATATATATATATATATATAATTACCTAACTTTTTGCTCCAAAGTGACTTTTCAAAAAATATATTATTATTGATTTTAGAGAAAAGAGGGAGAGCGAGAGAGAAACATCAATGATTAGAGAGAATCACTGATCAGCTGTCTCCTGCATGCCCCTGTATTATCCCAAGGGGCAATTAATTAAAATAAATTCCAACTTGTTTTATTATTTTTTAATCCTTACCCAAGGATATTTTTTCCATTAATTTTAAGAGGAAGTGGAAGAGAAGGAGTGAGGGAGAGGGAGAGGGAGAGGGAGAGGGAGAGGGAGAGGGAGAGAGAGAGAGAGAGAGAGAGAGAGAGAAACATCAATGTGAGAGAGACACATTGCCTCCTGTATGCACCCGGACCTGGTTGGAGAGAACCTACAACCCAGGTATGTGCCCTTGACCTGGAATCAAACTTGTGAGCCTTGAGTATGTGTGCCAACGCTCCAACCACTGAACCACACTGGCCAGGGTGACACAAATTATTAACCTGTTAACGGAGCAGGACGTATAAATACATCAAACGTAAACAATATTGGGTATGGGTAGGACATATGTATACGTCCTTGAAATATATGTTGCGCCCTGAAACAGGCGGGACGTATATTTCCGAACAACAAAGGTATTAGTCATCCATACATGTCTTGACATGAATTTAAGACACGGAGGGAATCAGTATAATTTCGCTAGTGAGAGTGGTGGATGTGTTCAATAAGAATTGTTTTGGAGTTAACACATGACTTACTGAATAAAGGGTATAGGATTTACTTAGATAATTTCTATACGTCAATTCATTTGGCTGAACTCTTGTGTCAAAACAATCCAGACATTGTTGGAACAATGAGGATAAACAAAGTCCGAATCCCCAGTGAAATAAAAACAAAAAAATTATAGAAAAATGAACATATAGTAAGATTCAAAGACAAACTTATGGTTTTAAAATGGAAGGATAAAAAAGACGTATTGATGCTCAGTTCTATTAATAATGACGAAAAGACAATGATTGAAAAGAGAGGAAGAAGGCAAGAAAAACTGAATGTTGTCCTGGATTATAACAAGAATATGGGCGGCGTAGATTTGGGAGATGGAGTTATGGTGGCTTACACAGCTGCACGTAATAGGGTAAAAAAATTTTATAAAAAAAATTTTTTTCTACGATTAATTGCTATATGCTGCTTCAATGCATACATTATATACAAAAAAGATAAAGGTCATTTGGACCGATTACACTTTTTGATAGAGTGTGTAGAGAAATTGGTAGATAACAACATAGTGAAAACCCACCCAAAGAAATCAACAAGCAGTTCTAAACCATCACGCTTAGTTGAAAGGCATTTTCCAGAATAAATGAAAAGCGATATAGGAAAAACTAAATCCAGGAAATGCCGAGTTTGCTACAAAAAAGGTGTTAGGAAAGAATCTACATACTGGCGTCCGGATTGTAAGGTAGCACTATGTATCAACAATTGTTTTAAAATATATCACACAGAAGTTGAGTTTTGAATTTTTACACCTATATTTTAATTTTTTTAAACTCAATATTTCTATTTTATTTGTGTGCTTTTGTTTATTGTTCTGTAATTGTTAACTTTTTTATATTTTTTATTGTGTATCGAAATAAAAAAAATATATTTTTTGTAATCTTTATAATTGTTTGTAAAATTTATAATTTTTTAATTTGATGTTCCCATTTTTTTGTTTGTATTCTTTTCTATTTGTTTGTAATTTCGTATTTTCCTTTGTGCTTTATATATAAATAAATGAAAAAATATATATTTCATAGTCTTTTCATTTATTTTCAGTATAAATAAAAAAAAATAATAATATGAAATTACATCCACTGGGCGTGATGTACTGACACATCCTAGTGAAAGAGCATGTGCCCGTTGTAAGTTGCATAATTGAAAAGGGAACTCCCCGGTTAACAGGTTAAAGTGATAAATAACTTCATAGAAAAAAAAGGTAATTTAATTTTTTCCTTTTTTTCTCCCTTTTTACTGAAGGGTTAGGGTATTTGAGATTGAGGAAAGAGATATTACACAACCCAGTTGCTTCCTTTCTAGGATAAAAATTAAGGTTATTAATAGCATTTACAAAACACACCTACACACAACTATTCACATTTAAAATATATACATTTCCTATATAGAAATGACTTAAAAGTTTGTAGAATATTGGATAAATTAACATTAAAATGGAATGGGCCCTAGCCAGGTGGATCAGTTAGTTGAGTATTGTCCCATACACCAAAAGATTGCAAGTTCAATTCCATTCAGGGCACACACCTAGGTTGCAGGTTCCATTCCCAGTCAGTGTGCAAATGTGAGGCAACTGACCCCCTGGTGGTCAGTGCACATCATAGCCGGTCCACCATTTGGTCAATTTGCATATTAGGGTTTTATTATATAGGATTGGTGTCTTGAGTCAACAATGAGTTTCAGCTGAATAGTTTCAAGTATTAAACTATTCTAGTAATGCTGTCATATATTAATAACCCAGTGAATATATGATGCTATGTATATCAAAATTAAATTCTATTGTAGTTATATGGTCTTTGTTTTTTAAAAAAAGATTTTTTTATTGAATTTTAGAGAAAGGGAGGGGGAAAGAGAGAGAAACATCTATGTGAGATCCATACATCAGTCAGCTGCCTCCTGCATGTTCCAGCGCCTGGGCATGCACTCTGACTAGGAATTGAACTGGCAACCTCCTGATGCACGGAATAATGCCCAGCTAACTGAGCCACATCGGCCAGGGCTAGATTACATTTCTTATGTCTTCATTTCTGAGTATCAGCTTTTCCATGTAAAAACTGAGAGAGTAGGACTTTTTAACTAGTGCAACCCCACGCAACCATTGACTGAAGTCCAAGATCGGTTCATATTTTCAACTTATAGCAGGTTTCCTTGCTTTCTTACAGACCTAAAATGCAGATAAAAATTATACTTGATGAGCAAACCAAATTGAAGTTGAACAGTGATGTTTACTAAGGCTGCTATTTGAGTATAGATGTCTTTTTTGTTTTTGTTAATCCTCACCCAAGGCTATCTTTTCCATTGATTTCTTTTCCTTCCTTCCTTCCTTCCTTCCTTCCTTCCTTCCTTCCTTCCTTCCTTCCAGTCCATGGGCCAATGCTCAACCACTGAGCCAAACTGGCTACGGAAGTGTCCTTTATATCACTGTTTTTCAACAATGTTTACTTACATGAGGCTTTTAGCCAGTAGATTTCAAACTGAGCTACTGATCTAGTTTTTTTTTTCTTTCTTGCCAATAAAACTTGAGTATTTAGATCAATATTGCTGACTTTTATCTAATATCTCTTCATTGTTTCCCACACTGAATCCATGGTGTGGGATATCTGAGGTCAGTTTTCATTCTGGGGAAAAGCCTTGGAGACTAGATACACTGAGGAGCAGACAATGCCTGTACAATGAATGGGGTAATGAGCTACTGTTTTGCTTTTTTCCCCCCTGAAATAAAATTGGTTGGGTTCAGGTAATAATGTAGCATCTGTTGTTATATTGTGCATGGAAATGTCAAAAGAGAAAGCAAGCAGACAGGTGGATTAAGGGAGAACAGGAGGAGAAACCAGGAAATATCACATTAAGTTCTGATTTAAAGTAGGGAACAATGATTTGAGGTTTGATGCTAGGCACTTATTGTGTGCTGGCTATGTGTGACTTCCCAATGAGCTCCAGTTTTTCTCACTTGTAGAGAAATCTCTAGCCTTGTAAGCTTGTTTTAATGGTCAATGAGTAAGCAATATAAAGCAGCTAGCAGAACACTTGAGATACAGATGATACTCAGCAAAGTATTTTCTACCTTCCATAACTGAGAAGGGAGACTGGGGTTTGTCAGGCATAGTGACCTGTACATATATGATAGGCACTCAATAAGTCTTTAAACACGAGTAAACGTTGATTTCCAAACAGTAAAATATTACACATATTTGAATACTGGGCTCAAATATCACTTCTTCTGATATGTTGTCTGATTCTCAAAGCTGTAACTGATTTTTACTTTGTGCTTAAACTCCTTAAGTATTTCGCTTTTACTTCTCATGTTATTTTGCCCATTTTTCTTGACTTCCTATTACTTGTATACATTTTGCATCTTCTCTACAAGATGTAATCTCTTCTGGCAGGCAGAAAATGTTTTATATTCCTTGTTTATCTTTCAGTGCTCAGCACAGTTCTTGTTTTGTTTTTTAATTTTTTAAATATATTTTATTGATTTTTTACAGAGAGGAAGGGAGAGAGACAGAGAGCCAGAAACGTCGATGAGAGAGAAACATCTAACAGCCGCCTCCTGCTGCACATCCCCTACCGGGGATGTGCCCGCAGCCAACGAACATGCCCTTGACCAGAATCGAACCTGGGACCTTTCAGTCTACCACTGAGGCAAACTGGTTTCGGCATCAGCACAGTTCTTGTTAAGAAAACATTAGCTGAGTAAGTAGGAGGTGACATTCTCTGAGAATGATGACTAGTGGAGTTTTCCTCAGTTCTAGTTAGGGCTCTCCAGGCTTCCTCTTTACATAAGTGAATCTTGCTATTAATCTCATGTCTACAAAAAAGTTATTTTCTGTGAAGCCGCCATAGAAAGTCATTTAACACCCTTCTCTTTGTTTTCACTACACTAAGGCAGACCTCTATAATAAACTTTACATGTGGTATTGTAATTCTATTTTTGCAAGACTATGAACTCCTGGATGGGAGGACCCTGGTGTCGTCATTGCAGGCCAGGCTGAGGGGACCGCCCCCTCCCGTGCAAGAATTTCATGCACCGGACCTCTAGTTAAAATACAAAGATTAAAGACAAAGAAAGAATCTTAAAATCAGCAAGAGAAAAGCAGTTAGCTACCTGCAAGGGAGCACCCATACAACTGTCAGCTGATTTATCAACAGAAACTTTACAGGTCAGAGAGAGTGGTAAGACATACTCAAAGTGATGAATAGAAAGGACCTACAGATTACTCTACCCGGCAAAGCTATCATTTAGAATTGAAGGTTAGATAAAGAGCTTCACAGACAAGAAAAAGCTAAAGGAGTTCAATCATCACCAAACCAATATTAGATGAAATGTTGAAGGGAAGAGGAGGAGGAGGAGGAGAAGAAAAAAATATGAACAATAAAATGGCAATAAATACATATTTATCAACAAGTGAATCTAAAAATGAAAATAAACAAATAAAAAATCTAATAAACAAAGTAAACTGATGAATAAAATATCTCAGAGGGAAGGAGGAGCGGGGGCAGGAAGGGATTAACCAAGAGATCTTACATGCATAAATGCATTATCTATGGACACAGACAACAATAGAGTGGTGAAGGTCGGGGACAGGGTGGGAACTGGATGGAGGGGAGCAAAGGGGAATAAAAACGGGACATCTGTAATACTCTCAACAATAAAGATTAAAAAAAAAAAAAAAGCTAAAAAAAGAAAAGGCTGACAATAGAATCTCTGTATTTTTTGGGTGAGATAATATCCAGAAAGAATGGGAGTATTTGTCAGGCAAGAAGAAGGGAAAGGAATAGAAACCTATGAATCTAGTCTAAGATCAAGTTTTTGAAGAGTTCTATACAACAGATTAGGAAAAGATAAGATTGTCCATACTAAAAAGAGTCTGGGCTTTTAGTATGGACAAAAGTTCATAGTGGAAAGAAGTTCTAAGAACCATTAACAGTATCAAATGCAGAGGACACAAACCTAGCTTTTGAATAACATTTTCAAACTGTGCCATACCTCACGTTCCTCTTCTTGTTCTTTTCGAATCTGCTCCAAACGAGACTGTTCTGCCATCTCTCTCTCATGAGCTTCCCTCTGTTGATAAAAGAGAAAGGGAGCCAGCACTCAATAAACACTTTTAAAAAAATTTTAAAAATAAAAGGAAAGGAAAGAAAGAAAAGAAAAGAGCTAAGTCCCTGCATGACCAGAGGTGCACTGTAGTAATAGAAGTATTTCTCTCTGGAATTAGAATAAAAATGAAAGCAACAACAAAGCATCTCTCTCTGTTCATGTTGGGTTCCTATTCAAATACCTAGGTAGCTCTGAGTAATGTCACATTCATTAAAACTGTTGTCTCATCTTCCTTTCTAGTCTTTTTGGCTATGTTTCCTTTACCCAAATATCAGGCTTTATTCATGTCAGCCTCTACCACGTACCCTTTGGTACAAATATTACTTTTTCTCTCCCAACCCTCCTCATCCAGTTCACATATACAGCCTCTTCTATTCATCCCTCCCCAGTCCATTCTCACTTCTTGGCTTTTCAGAAAAGCTAAAAAACAAAACAAAACAACAACAACAAAAAAAAACACCAACAACCTTTCTATTGAACTTCGTTCACTGAATTCTCATAGAACTTAGTGCTTTCCTTATGACATTTAGAATCCTTGCCTAAGTGTTATATTGTAGATATCTGTGCTCTTTACTTAATCTATTCTTTGCCACGTTTTTGAGGGCAGAAACTGTGACTCATTCATTTTACCTTCCTTCGATGCCCAGTGCAAAAGCAGGTACTCAAAAACCATTAAATAAATCAGTGAGTGGTGCTCAGCTCTGACTGCACATTAGAATCACCTGAAAGCTTTTTAAAAATTGTTAGGTTGTACCCTAGACTCACTAAAAATAAAATAAAACAAATAATATGCCCATTTTGTTTTTATTTTTATGATTTTCAACAAACTTTATCTTGTCAAAATGAACCATACCATACTTCAAGGACCAGGGGATAAAATTATGTCCTTTCTGTTAATTGAATCTAGCTTTCTCCATTGCAAACCCAACATTTTTGGGGGGATCAAAGTGATAAAAGGGCTGGCACTTAAGTAATGAAAAAAATATTTAGGTTTGAGTTCTTTATCCCAGAAGTCCATTGACCAAACCTACTTTTGCTCTGTCAGCCTCGAGTGAAAGGCGATAGGCCTCATCTTGCTCTCTCTTCACATTTTCTCTTGCTTCACGTTCATCCTTAAAAGAAAGAAAAAGATTTAAATGTATTTTACCATATTACATTTTTAAAAGAAAAAAAATGGCAATCTCATTGTTTTACTCATGTGTGAATTTATTATAAGTAAACAAGACACTTTTAAGATGCATAAAATATAAATAAGCAAACAATAAGATGAGTAGCATGGTATAGAGTGAAAATAAGAATGTTTGAAGACTAGCTCTCTACCATTAACAAACTGTGTGGGACCTTGGACAAGTTATTTAACCTTTCTAGGTCTTAGTTTTACCAACTATAAAATAAAAATAATATTTGTCCCATAGGGTTATTGTGAAAATTAAATGCAATAATATATAAACTGTCTAGTAAAGCACCTGACAGTTCATTTTTACAATGATTAGTTCCCTTTGTTTTTCCACCTGATTTTTCTAAGATAAACTTGGAGAGTGTCAGCATTAGGACTAAGGAAGGGAAAAGAAATAAAGGACTTGGCAGTAATATCCTGGTCAGCATAGGGAGAGTCTGAAAGCAAAGTCCTAGTTAACTTCAGTCCATACCACACCACTAAAGCTTGGTTACCAAATAAGTATTTCCTCAATACCATCACAATCATGAAGTGTGAATAACTGAGAAGTTCTCTAGATCTTTTAGAATATTTTTAGTTTCTGAAATAATTTTGCCACCTGCCTACATTTAAATTGCAATTTCATACAAAATTAAAAGTTAATTCAATTGTCAGAACTTCTCATTTATTCAATTCTAGAGTATAGTCAATATATATGTACTTAACCCTTTGCACTCCGCTGTCCCCTCTCAGGGGGGACATTGCAGTTTATTAGTGATTACGGGGAATTGAGTTAACTCAACGCACGTGTCAGCCGCAAAGTAGCGTCGAGTAGCTGGTAGCCAATGTCCAGAATGGTTCGGAGTGCAAAGGGTTAAATTTAATAAATACATGTTGACATCAGACTATAGATGACCTTTTTGATCATTTTGTTTAATAGGCTGAATAACAAAGTCACAAATGTTTAGCTATTTTGACATTAAAAGTGAAATTTCATATGGTTTAACTTAATACTTCGTAACTTTTTGTCTCCCCTATTCATTATATGCTCACTCAAGGTTGAGTATATGCTCAGCACTGTCTTAGGTGCTCTTTCTAATTCGAGTCTGAACTTCTCCCTGAAGTTTCATACACCTTATATATAGATAGTTTCAATGATTCAATTAATTTCACAAACTCTGATATGAATAGTAATATTTCATTAATTCCAAATCTTTCAAGTAAAAAAATAAGATTTAAATGTTGAAGCTAATTGCTATACTATCCATAATGAAAAAATATGCTAGGGAAAATATATGTTGGAACAAAATATAAGGAACAATTATTATTTTTTCTTTAATGCCTTTTGTTTTGTTTTTTCTTAATCCTCACCCTAGGATATTTTTCCACTGATTTTTAGAAAGAGAGGAAGGGAAGTGAGAGACACAGAGAGAGAAAAACATCGATGTGAGAGAGACACATCTATTGGTTGCCTTTTGAATGCTCCCTGACCAGGGCCAGGATCCAGCCTGCAACCGAGGTACATGCCCTTAACCAGAATTGAACCCAGGACCCTTCAGTCCTTGGACCGACATTCTATCCACTGAGCCAAATCAGCCAGGGCTCTTTTCTGTCTTGTCTCCCCAACTGTCCTGCTCACAGTCATCTTTAATTTTTGGATTTAGAGAACACTGCTTGGATAATATCCCTGCACTGTTCTATATGATTAAACTTTTAGAAACCCCAAGTGCTGTGATTATCATTTCATGTCTAACTGTGTTCCCGTAACTTGTAGATGTGCCTCCTGGAACGTGTGCTGCGTCCTACAAAGAATGTCTTTGTGAAGGACCCTCTTGCTAAATCTGAGAGGACACATCAGACAAAGTAACTAGAAATACATGGTTGATTATGTAGAGCTAGCACAGCTGAATAAGCAGGTTCAGGAATGGGTCTCGGGTGCTGCCTGGGCTCTGGGTTGGCTGCCTAATATGAAAACATCCTTTGTCACACTAAAGTGAGAAGCTGGACTGCTTGGAACTAATAGCCTCCAATGGAGCTTTTCATCTGTAGCATAACTGTAACTGCTCTATACAGCTTTGTACTCACTTGTTTGTATATTTAACTTACTGCTCCCTCCTTAAGCTATGAGATCCCATAGGAAGAATTCTGTATTCTTGTATAACATCTAGAATACTATTTTACACATGGCAGGCATTCATTACATATTTGATAGATGAAATAGTGGAATTATCAGTGCTCAACAGTTACACATCTGAAGTTCCGAGTATTCTGAAGATTAGCAATTTTGATGTGAGTATATTTCTTTTGTAAAAACAAAATATTTTTATTAATTTCAGAGAGGAAGAGAGAGAGAAACATCAATGATGAGAATCATTGATGGTCTGCCTACTGCATGCCCCCTTAATGGAGATCAAGCCCAAAACCTGGGCATGTTCCCTGATCAGGAATCAAATGGGTTCATAAGTTGATGCTCAACCACGGAGCCACACCAGCCAATCTATGTGAGTATATTTCTTACTAGAGGCATGAAATTCGTGCACCGCGGGGGTGCGGGGGTGTATGTTCCTCAGCCTGGCCTAAACTGGCAGTTGGACATCCCCTGAGGGGTCCCAGATTGGAGAGGGTGCAGGCCAGGCTGAGGACCCCCCCTTCCCGTGCTTGAATTTCGGCCCCCCACAGGGATGGGGCCTAAACTGGCAGTTGGACATCCCTCTTGCAATCTGGGATTTGTGTCCTTGAAGTTTCTTCACCTCTTTCATCACTGATCAATTTTATCTCTAAAGTAGAAAAAATACTTTCTTGCTGGATTATTGGAAGGATAAAATGAATGATGAATACATATCACCTAGCATAGCATAGGGGACTGAAGTAGGAATTTGATAAATTTTATCCTAACCATCACCATCATCATCCTAATAATAGTAGTCCTCTTCCTTCTAATAACTCAATGTGTAACCTCAGGCCAAAGAGTTGAATTTCTCTGGATTTCTTTTAAAAACTGCCCGGGAGGGCCTGGGGCAAATCACCACTCATTAATAGCAGCACTTTTCTGGAAATAAATTGGCGTTGGTAGAGGAGGGGAAGCAGAGGAAGGTATGAACAATTATAGGAAGCATCTTCCCACTGTTCCCTGATTGACTGCTGTACTCTATCCAAATCACTGTTTATGTACCAGAGCTCTGAGGGCCAAAAGTAAGAACATTAGAGGTCCTAAGCACATATTATGCACCATATGTAATTTAGAAATAAAGTTATGCTGCACTGTAAAATAAGTCTCAGAAGTCTGACAAAATTCTGATTTTTCTCATGAGTACTTTGATTTTTCTGGAGTATCAAATTCCAAAAAGGTATATTTTTCTCTTTCTTTCTGTTTATTTGGTGAACCTACTCTGTTTATTCTAAAGTAATTCATCTGCCTTTAGATAATCAAATTCTAAGTTGCAGGTTGTGGGGGCTAATTGTAGGAAGGCTCTTTAGAACGAGAGTCCAGGGCAGCCCCTAAGTTTGCTATACTTTCAGGCTGTGAGAATTAAGTAGAGGAACACATGGTAGAACTGTGCTTTGAAATGTACTAAGGTTCCAGATTGAAATAATTATTTTGTTAATGAGATCAGGAATGACTTAGAAGGCCTCATCCACTCAATGGTTACAATGAATTCCATGTTCCTAGGCCTAATTTATCACTGCAGCATTATGTAAAAAGCTCGTTTTCTTGTTAATCAAAGCTACCATTAACTAAGTATTCGCAGAGGAAAATGTAGTATTAATGAATAGCCCCAAACCTATACTTTTACCTAAGACTTTTAATCCTTTAAGGTCTTACATTTCAAAGTTTACAAAGCACTTTCACATGTGATATAATAATTAAGTTGGGCACAAAAGGACTTTTATTCCCACTTAGAGATGAGGAAACCGAGACTCAGAAAGTTAAAACGATTTCCCCATGGTCACACAGTTTGTGAGAAGGCAGGTTACCTGGTACCTCATCTAGAGCTTTCTACCATTTCACTTCTTTTCAACAAGCATGCTCATTGTGTTTTTCCCTTCTAAATTTTCTTCATTGCAAACACAGTGTAGGAGATATTATGGAATGACTTTACTCAATAAACTGTTTCCATTTGCTGCAAGGAACATACTATTTTCACTTGTTGCAAGAACTGAATAGGAAAAACAAATATAGATTTAGGTTATTTCTTTTCTTCTTTAAAAAAAAATATATTTTATTGATTTTTTTACAGAGAGGAAGAGAGAGGGATAGAGTTAGAAACATCGATGAGAGAGAATCATCAATCAGCTGCCTCTTGCACACCCCCTTCTGGGGACATAACTGCAACCAAAGTACATGCCTTTGACAGGAATCGAACACAGGACCCTTCAGTCCGCAGACTGATGCTCTATCCACTGAGCCAAACCAGTTTTCGCGGTTTAGGTTATTTCATTACCATTGGACTCTCCATAGAGAAGAGCAAGATGGTAAGGAATGGATCTGTACCTCTAGCCTGATATTATCCTGTAGAGTTGTCATTATCTATTCACATGATTACTTCTTTTTTTCAGATCCTAAGCAAAAATGAAGAAACTTTTCCTTGTTAACTCTGTATCCTGAGTCCTAATCAGTGTTTGATACTTTGTAGATCCTTAGAAATTGAACAGTGGGTGAGTATTTGACTCCACAGGTATTTGCATTATAAGTTTATATCTATTAAACTGATTTTCCTGTGAAATCATTAATGAACTATCCAAAAACTGTTAAATAAGGATTATGGCAAACAACACTGCACATTCTTTCAGGTTACAAACCTGAAAAAATAGGTTTGATACCTACTATATCAAAGATTGAGCCTAAGTGCTAGACTAACTGGTTATATTTTAAATTCTAGTCATATCAAAAGTTTTATACAGAGAAATTTCAAGTTGGCCCATTGTAGGACTTTAAAAACAGAGAGATGAATTCAC